AACAACATGCTACTCTGCCTCGTTCTGATGACATCATCTGGGATGTGACACGCAGGGTCCCGCCATTTGTGTGGGTGTGGGCTGGGCAGTACAAATGGTGTCCAGGGGGTCGTGGTTTATTTCAGCATGGGCTGCCCCCCACTCCTGCGAAGCCGTCGGCTGGAGAGCTGTTCTTGCCGGGCCTGCTCACGCTCCCGTCCCTGTCTGTTTCGCAGAGCTTCCCTCCTGTGATGGAGCCTCTGGTGGCCTGTCTAATGGATGAGCTTCCCTGCTGCAGTGGCTCCTGCCTTTCTTGTTTACTTCATTTATGAAAGTCCCCTTCTCATTTTGTGGATAATTGTGGATACAGAACTTTAGGTCTTTGAGATTCTGAAACACTTTCCTTTCTGTTGGCTCTTTCAGCTGCCTCCTTGGGTGGAAGTTTTACTGATGACGAGCTGAGCTTGCTGTTTCCTCTTGTGGTGCCCTGTCCTGGGACGGTGGTGCCTACTCCTACTGCCAGCTGATCTGCTGTGGCAAATTGTCCCACGTGCCTTGGCTGTGGCTTCTGTGCTTGGCCTCAGCTTTTTAAATGGCCTATGCCTTTCTGAATGTTCCCCTTTTTTGGGAAGGTGTTTCTCAGAGTTTCTGGCCAATGGAAGTTGCCTTTCTTCTTGTCAATCCTAGGCAGTTACGCATTTTAATGTATTTTCTGCTACATCGTTTCGGAAGTCAGGGCTGGAAGGATGCACTGACGGACGAGTGGCAGAGCGTGAGGGAAGGAAAGAAGTGACGGGAGAACAGCGCCAAAGCCGGGGAGGGAGAAAGACCGTGGCTCCTATCACATGCCTGAGGCCACCAGCAAGAGCGACTTGCTTTACACTTCCTGAGAACTGTGTGTGCCGTTACCAGGAGCAGACGAGAGAGAAAAATAGTCAGAATGTTCAGTATGCTTCATTTATCTCATCTGAAAAGCGAGTTCTGTCCAGTGACCTAATGGGCATAAACTCGGTTTCTAAAAAAGTCACTGATGCAGCAGCGAACTTCTGAGTTCTTGGTATGGTAAGGTCTTGTGCTCATACTGGTGAGGGTACAAAAACGCATGCTTCCTCCCATCCAAGACCTCATAGAACACGCAGGCAAATGAGACTTCCCCAGCTCAGCGACACTCAGGGTGAACTGCTAGGCCATGGAATGTTGTACATGGAGGGCAGGATTTCCGAAAACTTCTGATGGGTGATTGAGGAGCCCCTGGGTTGGACGAGCGAATTTTAGGGGTAAGAATGGCACTGACAGAGACACGGAGGTGGGAGAGAGCATGGAGTGTTCGGAGCTTGGCGAGTAGGCCTGGCAGGGAGAGAGTTTGTGCTGAGGAGCTAAGTCTCAGGGTAGCTGCCCCCATCTCTGCCAGGGCGTTGTGGTTTTGAGGGAAAGGCCTGTTGCACCCCCTCATGGGTTTTCTCTGCTTTTTCTGGTTTTGGTTTGCATTACTTCCCCCTACGAGTGTTCTTTGAACTCTTCAGAAACTCGTCTTGGGGTCTTTTCATCTGTTCCTGGTTTGACACTGTGCTCCATCCATGGGGTCCTGCTTGGCAGGGTGTCGTGTGGGAGAGCTAGTCTTCCTGAAGCCTTTCTCTGAACTTAGCATTTGGTATGCGTTTTGCTGTTTTGCTGCCATTTCAGTGCCAGGAAAGAGAGGACTTACCTGGAGTGTAGGCAGGGTTTCAGAGGAAGCCCCAACACCACCGATCCCGAGTTTACAGGGCTCTGCCCATCTTGGCCTTGCAGGGCCGGGGAGAAGTGCTAACAAGCTGTCCTCTTTGTCTAGTGCACACAAACCATTAGCTCCTCTGAGGTCAGCCAGCAGTAAGCTACTGGCTTGTGAAACACCAGGATGATCCATTTTGATTTAAGCCCTGCATTTAGTCATTGAAACATTCTTACACACACCTCTGCAGGTGCGTACACATACAGACATGCACGTGTGTCTCTCTGTGCCCGTTCCTACCCTCTGATGATTGCTTCCGCTCCAGGAGGCTGCAATCCAAGACTAATAAAATATGGCTTCTGGGAAGATTTTTCTTCTTCCTAGAGAGGGTTGTCTTTTTTTTCCTTCTTCCCCTAGAGAAACATTGGTCATTGGCCCAATCTTTGGGGCAAGGATCAGAAACACCCTTACATTCTGGGGGTTTGTCCATAAAGGCTGGGTGGGAATCTGCTTTGGGGTCTGTAGTTTGGTTCCACCAGGCTTTGGGAGAACTTTAACCAATCTCATGAATCTTAGATGGCCACAGAATGTGTGGACTTGGAGGAGCAATACATGGTCGTTTTTGTGGGCCTCGACAGGAGCACAGTTTGGTATCTAGCCCCCCTTGGAGAGACAGCAGAGGGGATCATGGTGCAGCAGCGTAGAAGCAGGTGAACCCCAACCTTGATCCTTTTGTTAAATTTCATCTGGGAGTGGAGATAGCAGGCCACATGCAGCCCTCCAAGGATATTTATCCGACCTGCTGGCTGTTTCTGCCTCTGCTGCCTGTCCTGCTTAGCAGCCGACTCGTCCCGGGCCCACAGTGCGCATGTGTGGAATGTGCGCCGCTCTCTCCAACGGCCCTCCAACGGTCTGAGGGACAGCGAACTGGCCCCCTGTTTAAAAAGTTTGAGGACCCCCGCTGTGTTACCTTTATCAAATGACAGGTGTGATCAGGGATTCCTCTAACTTGTTGTGGGGTTGGATAAAACCCAGAGTGAAGAGAATTTTGCCCTTTGTTTCATCCAGTAGGACACTCAGACCCTGCTACAATGTTGTCGGCTCGATCTTTCCTCATCGCTTTGCCCTGGCAGTTCCTGGATGGTTACAGCCATTTCTTATAATTTTTTCTGTATTGTCCCTCAAATAAGAAATAGGCTTGGGCCTTTTAATCTCAAAATAATGGTTATGGTTTAAAAGTTATTGAACAGGGTGCTGTGCTCAGGCCCCTCTCTGTGGGATCTCCTGAATCTTCACAATGCTCAGTTAAATAGCAATCTTATTATCCTGTCCCATTTTGCAGACAAGGCAACTGAGGCCTCCACGGATTTTTCTACATTGCATCTAGGTTTATCTGAGAAACTCTACTTTACTTGTTTTTCTGATATATGCTCCCTTCTCCCCATTACAATGTAAATCCTGTGAGGGCGGGGCTTTTTTGTATCCTTGCCTCTCTCTGCTGTGTCTCCAGCAACTGCAATGTGCATGTAGTAGCTGCTCAGTGAATATTTGTTAAAGAAACTAATAACCTGTCCAGGGTTAAATGGCTAGAAAGTGCTGACACCAAGCTTGGAATGACTCTTCTCTCATTCCACAGTCCAGATTGTCTTAACCACCCTCTCACATTGCCGTCTTGACTATTTAGAAATAATTTCCCTTTTCCTCTTCTACCCTTCTCCAGTGTCTGTTGCCTTTGTGCTATGATTTAAAGCACAGCTGCAGTGAGCTACAAATACCCCTCTGCCTGGAGGCCTCACCCTGCTCTGCCTCCTAAATGTGGTCCTTAAGTCAGCAGGTATAGTTCTCTTGGTCTAATCAGAAGCGCAAAACATTTGCCTCTTTATTTCAAGATTTTTGGCTTTTTCTAGTTTAAGCTTAAAGCCAAAGAACTACAGTAGAACTGACTGGGGCTGCTTAAAGTTCCCTCTTTCTTACACCCATTCAGTAGGAGGTAGGAAAGATGACAGCCAAAGCTACAGGTCTTTCCCGTGGTAGTTACAACATACAGCATTGTTTCTGATTATGAAATAAATATGTCTTCTAATACGTGTCCAACATAAAGAGTTAGGAAAATGTTAAAAAGAATAAAGAGCAAAACAGCAACCAGAAATCCCATCAATAGCCTCTGAAGTTCTTTCTGTGTGTGTGTGTGTGTGTGTGTGTGTGTGTGTGTATGTGTGTGTGTTTGCATGTCTTTCTTTCGGTGTCTGCGTATATGTATTTCCTTTTTTTAATGAAAGGCTCATCATACTACATAAACAACTTTTACCTGGCATTTTCCCCTTACTATTGCATTGTTTGTATTTCCCACAACTTTGAGTGTTCTTGTATGAGGTTGTTTTCACTGCCCACAGTTCTCATGCACCACGCTGTACCTGTCTTGGTACTGGGGCACATTTGCATTTTGGTCACAGTTTGTGTGCTCTAGTTTTCATTCTTTCACGTAAGTTTGTATACATCTATCCAGTTATTCTCCCAGAATAGATTTCTAGAAGTTGCCTTTCTGGGCTTAAAGATGTTAGCATTTTAAAGAAAGATGGGAGAAAGAGCAAGATCCTATCTCTACTAAAAAATAGAAAAAGAAAAAAATTAGCCAGTCAATTACAAATAGAAACAAACAAACAAAAAAAATTACCCAGGCACATGCCTGTAGTCCCAGCTACTTGGGAGGCTGAGGCAGGAGGCTTGAGCCCAGGAGTTTGAGGTTGCTGTGAGCTAGGCTGATGCCATGGCACTCCAGCCTGGGCAACAGAGTGAGACTCTGTCTCAAAAAAAAAAAAAAAGAAAGAAAGGTGGGGACTCTTGAAAGCTCTGATAGTTCTGAGTGCGGAGCCAGAGTGGGACCACCACAGGCAGCAGGATGACTCGCAGGGCAGCCACAGAACCCACGTGCTCCTGCACACCTGGGAGAACCCCTGGCAGCGGGCACCGAGGATTAGGAGAAGGACCGTCACCTCCTCTTACTCCATTAGCTTGGTCTGCTGGGCACATGTGCTTTCTTGATTCCGTTTTTGGATTGTTCTCCTGTTTTCTCTCTCCATTCCCCACCCTCCACTTTTGTTTTAGGGTTCGTTTTTCCCCGGGGCGGGGGAAAGGACTTTGGGGCAGGGGTTGGGTTGGTTTGCTTGCCCACTGACTAGCCGGGTGACTACGATGCATTACGCATGTGTCAGCCCCAATTTTCTCATCTGTAAAACGGGGATATAACCACCTTGTGAGGATTAAATGATTGAATGCATGCTTAGAACAGTGCCTGGCACATGTGAAACATTTAATAAACAGTGGTTTCTTAAATTAATTTTTAAAGGAGCAAATTAATAACACCGAATATTATTAATGTCTATATTCATGTTGATTTGACTTCCGGAGCCTATTGCAGGTGTATGGAGCGTTATGATGTGTGTAACCTACTGACAAGACTTCTTTGGTTCCTGATGCCAGCTCTCCCTTCCCTTCTGGCGTTCCCTGTCCTTCTCTCCCTTCTCTAGGAAGCTTGCCGTGCGACAGAGCGTGGGCTTTCTCTGGCTTCCAGATCTGCCCACGTGCGCACACTTCTCTCTTGGACTCTGTCAGTTTGTTTGTTCCCCGAAGGAAGAACTGGAGCCTGGTCGGCAGCTTTTCCAGTTGGCTTTATCCGTGTGCTGTGTTGTAAAACTGTTCTCTCTGTTACTTAGAACTCTCTTTGATCCATGTTTAGCTGTTTGTTCTCCCAACAGATGTTTGGGGCAGTTAGAGGATTTTCTCCTCCCATGTGCCCAGCCCCGTGCCCCTGCGCGCTCCCCGCTTCCCAGGCTCTTCCTCCAGCTGGCCACAGACCGCCATCTGCCGCGAAGGCCTCCTGGCCCAGCCGCTGAGACCGGCCGAGGGCCTTGGTTGGGGGAGGAGGGAGGAAGGTGTTGGGGAACTGTGCAGGGTAGTCTGAGTTTCCTAGACACATTCCAGGAGCTCTTTTGATCCACGGTATACGTGATTTAGCTTGTACTCTGTGGCCCGTTAACAGAATCCCAACCATACATCGTGTCTTGCGGACAACGGAGGGGGCGCCGGGGTACGGCCGGTGGCGTAGGAAGACCACCATGAGTGAGGGACTGTATGAGTTTCCTGGCACTGCCGTAACAAACTACCACAAACGGCGTGGCTTCAAACAGCAGGACTTTATTCTCTCACAGTTCTGGAAGCCAGAAGTTCCAAATCAAGGTTGTGGGCAGGGCTGGCTCCATCTGAAGACCCAAGGAGGCAGCCACCCCGCACCTCTGCCCACCCTCTGCTCGCCTCTCTTTCTCGGCTGTAGCTTGTCCCTCAGTCTTCATCTTTCCATGGGGTTCTCCCTGTGTCTCGTGTGGTCTTCCTCTGTACATGTCTGTGTACCAATGTCCCTTTTTTGTGAGGACACCGGTCATATTAGATTAGGGCCCTCTTTAATGGCCTCATTTTACCTTTATTGCCTCTGTAAAGACCCTATTTCCAGATAAGGTCACATTCTCCAGTACTGGGGGGTTAGGACTTCAACATGCCATTTTGGGGGGCACAGTTTAACCCATAACAGGAAGGAAAAACGTTGAGGACCTGTAACTTCTCCACCCACCAGCAGAGTGCTGGGCGAGCCGCGTGGAAACATGCAGCCCGCTCTCTGCAGGTGAGGACCTGCGGGGCAGGACCTGTTCGCGGGGTCTCTGTCCACTGCAGCAACAGAGGCAGCCGCGGAGGAAGGTGTCCTGCCCGCCTTGGGGTGATTCAGCTTTTACATTCCCAGCATGTAATGCGCACCTCCACCTTTCTGCACTCGGGGGTCTGTGAGAGCACAGAGGTCGGCTGGTGAGAAATAGAGGAGGGGTGATGGAGGGTCTCAGAAGCAGAGGGTGGATGGTGAAGAGGTGGGGAAGGCACAGTGAGTGGAGCAGACTGGCGGCAGGTGCAGAAGGCAGCTCAGGAGGCATGGGTTCTCTTCCCCGTCCTGCCACGGGCTGTGTACCGTGGCTTGGGCATTTACCTTCTCTGGACCTCGCTTTCTCTGTCGGCAAGACTGGGAGGTACATGCATGCTCTCTAAGGGCCCGTCCTGGCCAGAACAGATTCTCAACTGGAGCTTAATGTGTGGAGCAAATGGGAGCTCTGGCCTGGCCCCCTGCAGAGAGCACAGCCGCTCTTCCTGGGGAGACATCTTCCAGCGGGCCGCCCTGCGCAGGGTCACGCAGCACGCAGCCAGTGCCCGCCTAGCCCCTCCTCCCCTCCCATGCCTAGCCCTCTCCACATGTAAGCATGCCACTCCTTTTCGTGTCCCTATCGTTCTTTGATGGCACACATCTGTCATCTGTCGTCCTCGGCTCTGGGAGGGTGTGCCAGGCTTCTTGAACACAGCCACGGCCCCCGGCCCACTGCCTGGGGTCGGGACTGCAACTTAGCCAGGAGGCGCGAGGAAGATGCCTGCAAGTCAGGGCTGGGAGCAGGAGTGCCTGGGCCTGGCTTCCTCCCAGGCTTTAGGAGTGCCGCCCTGGCAGAGCACGAGGGTTTTGGCCACAGCCACCCACCCACCTGGTCTAAGCATCAAACATGTGCAGCCCCTGTGTTCAGAGAAGCCCCAAGCCCTGTTCGTGTCCCCAGCACAGCCCACGTGCACTGTTGGTGGTGAGAGCCCAAGGTTTGTGCCCTGCTTAGATGGGTGACGGGGCAAGCGGGAATGGGTGTGGCTCAGAGACGTTACTGTCTTTCTCAGGGCACTCAGCAGCGACCCAGGAGCAAGGCCCTGACCCAGAGATGCTGACTTGCGTGATGCTGGCTCTGTCCATCATTTGACTGAGCCCCTTTGTGAGGGACAGGGATGGTGACAGATGAGCAGGGAGGAGGGCCAGTGCTTAGAATCAGGCACTCCAGGGAGTCTGGAAAAGCAGGACAGACCCCAGCCGGCAGGGTCAAGATTGCCCACACCGCCTAGACAAACCTCAGGGCTGTGTGGCCAGGGCGTGGTGCGCTGCAGGGGGCAAGTGTTTGCTTATTGGCGACTTCGTCCTCCAAGAGTGCTGGGAATCCCGCAGTCAGTGGGGGGCTACCAGTGGTCGTCACAGGAATTGAGTTTTCCTTAGCAGGGACACCGGTCATTTGGGATGGGACAGTTCTTAGTGGTGCAGGATGCACCCCAAGCTTTACACACCATTGCCATCATCCCCTCACCCCTCTGGTCACTGTGGCAACCACACACACCTCCACACATTTCCAAATGCCCTTTAGTGAGTAGGGCGGTACCAGCCCTTTTGAGAATCACGTAGAGTAGTGAGTGAAAACTGAACGGACGGTAGCCTGCTCTTGTGATTTCGTGGCATCCTTTAGCTTCCTCTTCTCACCCTAGAAATCGCTGGAGCTGGGTATGCTTTGGCCCCAGCTGGAACCTCGCCAGTGCTGCCTGACCCTCCCCGGCTTCCCTGACCCTCTGCACCCAACCGCCTCAGGCAGGGCTAACACCGGCTCTTCAGAAAGCTCCGGGGCAGGAGGCAGAGGGGTCTGCATGGTGTTTGCATCCCTGGCTGTGAGCTGTGGGGCCACCCCACCCCACTCCGCCTTGGAGCGGTCACCCGGGTCGGAGCTCTGCGCAGCGTCTGGCTCCCGGTAGGCAGGTCCGTGGAGACTCCCGGCCAGCCGCGCCGTGCAGATGGGATGATGAGGACCAGATCCAGTTTCTGGGCTCCAATTTTTGCCAAGACTTTTACCAGGCTTCCTGGAACAGACAGGGAAACAGAGCAAGCTCCCTCAGGTCAAGTGATGGGGCCTGAGTTGACTGCAGTCCCTGATGACTGCTGAGCTGCTCCCGGCGGTGTGCAGAGCAGCCGAGCCCTCCCCGTCTCCGCCCCCTGCGCGCGGCTCCCGGCCGGCACTCTGTGCCTGGGTCTGCCCACCTGCACGAGGAAGAACATAACCAACTCGCCCCTTTTGCTGTGCAGGGGTAGAATGAGAACTAAGCGGCAACATGAAGGCTTTTGAATTCCAAAAATAATAGGAACTTTACAAATTCATGGCATTTTAGGATTTAAGGTAGGCGTGAAGTCTGACCTCATCTTATCATTGGCAGCAAGTCCTGTGAACTGGTGGCCGCTGATGTTCCTGTGCCCCTGCGTTCCAGCTCCTAGCTTGACTCTCCTGCTTTTCACAGCGGGACTTCTTCAACAGAGACGCCTTTTCCCCATTTCCCGTTCGGTGCTGAAATCCCCCGCAACCTGGCTTCTGCCACTGATGCACCAAGACCCTCCTCTGGCTTCATCTTGTTTGGCCTGTCCGTCATGTCTTCTTTCTTGAAATTCTCCCTTTCCTTGATACGATGCCACACTGTCCTGGGTGTTGTCATACCTCCGAGGCTGTCTGCCCCCCTTGTCTTAGCTGCCTTTCTGTCCACTGCTGACCTGGGCTCTCCTTTCCCCACAGCCAGTGGGCTCTGGCCTCTGTGTGAGGCTGCCTGGCAGGTACCAGGTGTCCTCCAGGTACTGAACACTCTCTGTTCCAAGCGCAACAGGGCTCCTTCTGTGCCCCAGACCTGCCCTGCCTGCCGTGAATCGTCTCCATTGTTTCGCATCTTAATCAGTGAGACCACCTGCCAATTCAGGGACTGTGGGGTCGCCCTCAGCACGTCTCGCCTCACCCCTCACTCCCCGTGATCATGCAGCCCCCACGTCCTCGTCACCTCTGAACCGTCTCTGCGGTTTGCCCAGGTCTCCTCACCTCCACTGCCGCTGCCCTGATCAAAACTCTGTTCATCTCTTGCCATTCTGCACACTTTGCAAAGGTCAGGGCGTCACTTCCACTCGAAATGTTATAATGGCTCTCCGGTGCCTCTGCGGGCCTCCTGCGTCCGGACTGTTCTTGTTCTTTCTCCCCCCTCCTTCTCTGTCTCCCTCCCTCTCCCTCATTCTTTACGTTCGGCCACTCCGGGTTTCGTGGCCACCGTTTCCCAGGCTGCACAGTGCACCTTCTCACCCCGTGGGCCGCAGCGCCGAGGTCTTTGTTCTCGCTGCCTAGGACGCCCCGTTTGGCCCCAGCGCGCTCCCTCTGGGAGCTTGTCCCTCGTCCTCTGGCTGACGCTGGGGCTCCTGCCACGTGCTCTGCAGCGTGCTGTGATCTCCCAGCGCCCAGCGCTTCTTACTGTAACCCCTCCTTCGACCTCACTAGACTCTAGGCTTCCCGAGGGCGGGACAGCTCCTCTTTCCCGCGGCCGCGTTCCCTGCACGCCTAACGCAGAGCCCGCCCTCAGCCCGAGTCAGTGAGTAGCTGTTGGATGAATGAATGAAGGAGTTTCCGTCTGCCCGGCGGAAACCTGGCGTGAGAGCAAAGATCCGAGCGAGGATTAAGGACAAGCCTTCCTCAGGGTGGCATGGAGAATCCTCAGAACAGGTGACTAACCCTCCTTCCGTTTGGCAAATGTTTACTCCAGGCCACACAGCCAGGCGAAAAGTTGAGTGAGGTTTAATCCTTTCCCACAGGAGCTCATTCTCTCTTTGAAGGCCCTTTAACTAAGCTCTGAAATGCTGCTGGCAGGTAAACGGGTCCTCACTTCTCTGTGACCAGCGTTGTAGGAAAGGGAGCACGCGCACGCATGCACACACACGCACACACGCATGTTGACAGACGTCCGAGCTCGCACCATGGACGTGCCCAGGCCCTTCCTCAGTTTTACAAAGTGGTAACGCACTCTTCAGCTTGGATCCTTGAGGTGCCGTGGAAAATCCCTCTGGCCTGGGATCTGGGGAGGCAGGTTTGACTGCGGGTGAAGTCCGGGGCGCGCCCTTTGCTGACGGGGTGTCCGCAAGTCTCCGCGTCTCACTCGGGGAGCCCGCTGTGGTGCTCTCCTTCCTCCCGAAGTCAGCACCTGGTTTGGCTCGCTAGAAACGGCTCTTCCTGTGCTTAGAACTCATCTCCTCCTCCTCTTCTGGGTTCGTACGGGGGATGAAGTCAGAGGATGGAGGTCGACCATGCCCTTCCTCCTGGACCCCGATTAAATTTCTTGGAAACCATGTCACGTCTCCCCGGTCCATTGTATCACTATATCCAGAGACAGCAGATTTTTGCCGGTGGAGGAACATCTGAGAAGAGGCCTTGGGAAGCTCAAGGCTCAGGGCCTGTCCCCAGGCCCCTCGGTGAAGGACACACCTATCCTTCACTGTCAGAGATGCTGCAATTGCTCCCTGCTAGGGTGACACACTGCGCTGCCTCCTTCCTTTCACAAGCCAGCAAGACGCTGTTTCCTGGAGGTCCTATAAGCAATTTCATTTTCTCTTTTGCTGTTTCCTTATTTCAATTATCTTCAGGGAGGAGCACACATATTGGACCGGTGCCTGGCTGTGAAATTTCCTTTCCATTTCTTTACACCTGCAGCTGCAATAAGAGGGAGAAGAGAGCGGAGCTTAGCCTGTGTCCCAGCCCTGGGTTATCCAGGTGATTTGGCTCTTGTTTCCCAGGAGGGCCTTGGAGGGCTGTGTTTCTTCAACTGCTTTCTGCTTCGGGCCTCTGGCCTCCGATCCTTTCTTCTCAGGCCTGTGAGCTCTGTGCACTGGGTTCATGCCTTTCAGTCTGACATGGAGAAACTATCCGACTGGCCTTTCCAGATGCTCATTCTGCTTCGCACTTTGTCCTGGAGGGCAGCTTATTATCCTCTTGCCTTTTCTTTTTTCCTGACCTCACCTCATCAACCTCTCACTGGGACCTCACAGAGGCAAAACTAGTCTAATTTTTAAAAAAAATTGGTAGCTTTTCATTTTTAGAAGAGTTGTAGGTTCACAGAAGAGTTGAGCAGAGAGTACAGAGTTGCCATATAACTCCTCCCGCCCGTCTCTTCCACTCTTGACATTCTGCGTTAGTGCAGCACGTCGGTTACAGGTACTGAAGCAATACTGACAGATCGTCATTAACCGAAGTCTGCAGTTCATATGCAGGCTTGTTCTTGGTGTTGCACAGCTCTGTGGGTTTTGACAAAGGCATAATGACATGTACCAGCCACCACAGCATCATACAGAACAGAGTCAGCACCTAAAATCCCTGTGCAGCATCTGTCCATGCGTCCTCCCTCCCCGGCCTTCACCCCTGGCAACCACTGACCCTTTTACTGCCTATAGTTGTGCCTTTTCCAGGGCATCGTATTAGTAGGAATCATACAGTATGTAGCCATTTCGGACTGCCCCCTTTCACTTAGCAGTATGCATTTTAAGTTGCTTCCATGGAAACTTTTTTCATTCTTTATCACTATAAGGCCAGTCATCTAAGGCTGCAGTCCCTAACCCCTGGCCAGCAGAGCTCTGCCATCCCCCACCTGCCCATCCCCCCACCCCCTGTGTGTGGGAGGATTTTATTCCATGACACTCAGGAAGGGGGTGTGCAGAGCAGGAGGTGAGCTGCAACCATGAGTGAAGCTTCATCTGTATTTATAGAGTTTACAGCCGCTCCCCGTTGCTCACATCTCCCCCATCAGTGGAAAAATTGTCTTCCATGAAACCAGTCCCTGGTGCCAAAAAGGTTGGGGACCACTGATCTAAGGGATTTCTCTGTCTGTTCCTTTCCAGTTCAGCGTATTCCATCACTTGGCACAGAGTAGGTGCCCATTTAATGATCACTTCCTTTTACAACCTGAAACACCTTCCCAGCACCAAAGACGGGCTAGGTCAAGAGCAGAGCCCCCCACCCCAGATTCAACTTTGTTCTCCTTTCTTTCCACAATAATCTGGATCAGAACCAGCAGCTCTGTAAGAGTGCATTTCTTTGCCTCTATACCAGGCCCCAGAGAGCATTTGATTCCTTGGCAGAGAGGTGCAGGCTTAATTAATTTTTCTCTTTCCTGCTTTGAACCTCTTGGAACACACACACGTACTCACATTCATGCACAATTGGGTGTGTAAGAATTTTAATGGCAGGTGGTGTTAGCAGTTCTTTTCCTCCTGATACAGACCGGCGTTTTTCCATCTGGACTTTCTAGCAGGACCTAAGAATATTGACTTTCTAACCATTTGGATCTGGGTGGAGTGAGCAGACTGGGAGTGGGGGAGAGGGTTCAAGGGGGAAATGTGCTTATGTATAAATCACATGTGAAGGGAGTTTTGAAGTCGTTATTGCTTCAGGATGTGTGAACTATAATTATTTTTTAAGGTCTTGATTTGCCCAATGAGCGTTTCCCAGGGTTGCTGCTCCAGGCATGACGTCTGTGCTGTCAGGGGGTCCCGCCTGGTCTGATACGCGTCTAATCGCTTTAAAGAGGGCCCAGGGTGGGATCTGGTTTCTCCAGGTTCTCAGCTGTGGTCAGTTCTGCGTGCAGCACGATGTCCAGATGACTTAGGTGACTGAGACAATGGAGTTAAAACGAAGAAGAGATATTTCCCCCTCTCTTTTCTGTGTATTATTACTGTTAAGTGGTTGGCTGCACGGGGCAGCTTGTTCTTTGTGCTCTCTTCACCTCCCTGCTCAAAAAAGGCAGCGCTCGCTCGTTTGCCTCGGCTCTACTTTCTGCCATCCCCCGCCCTCCCTCCCTGTCCTCACACACCCGACTGTCCTGGACTCCATTCTTCATGCTCCACCGGCGGCAGCCCTCGTCAGTAATGATCATCCCAGGGAATCGTTTTCAAGGGTCATATAAAGCATGCTCCCTCTGTGTTTTGAGGATGTTTTCTATCCCCGAAGGGGCTCTCTGGATAATGAGAAAGGTCAGATCGGGCAGCCTACAGGAAGAAGCCCTTAGAAGGGAAACCTGTGGCCCTAAGCCACGCTGATTCCAATACTTACAATTTGGGCTAGCTATTTAAAGAGAAATGTGAAGAACTTGGAAGACTTGGGAAAAGAAAATCGAGAACGTTGAACATGTCTGATGGGTGCGTGTATGGGGAAATTTTAAAGGGATGTGATGGAAAATTGGACTTGTGGTAAAACTTTGTAACTGGGCGAGCTATTCTTTCGTTTAAGCATGGCTCAGTGTAGGGTGATAAATATGTGCAGCACATGAGCTGCCATTCTCACTTCTTTGTCCATAGCAGACATCACTAATCAATTACAGCACTCTCTCCACTGTCACTCCTTTGCCCACAGCAGGCATCACTCACGGATCACAACACTCTTTCCCACTGAGCTTCAAAAGTTCTTTTAGTCCTCAATACAGGCCTCTAGGTAGCCATATACCAGTCAGTTGCATTTGGAAGTTGCACTGAAACCCATTTGCCACCTCTGGTTTAATGGAAAGAACATTAAGCTTAGAGGTGGAATACCTGAATTCAAGTCACTGACCTACTACTTAGTAATAATTAATTTTATATAATAATGATCCTGTAACCAAGTTTCTTCCTGTATAATAAGACAATAACATTTGTCACAGAGGCCCAAGGTAAGGATTAAGCAAGATAATATATGACATCTAAGACAGCGTATGTGACAGTGCCTAGAACGGTGCCCGGCACATCGTAAGTGCTCAACAAATGACAGCCGAGCATGAACTGATGCACGCGCGCATCACGCCACTCCCCGCCACATGTGGGACAACAGACACTGCTGCCTTCAGCCGCGCTGCTTTTCCCGTCCTCGCTCAAGGCAGATGGAGAACAGCTGGGCCTCTAATGCTACCTCACTTTAACTTCACATTCTTAAAACTCCTATTAAATCTCTCTTTCCTGAACTAATATAATGCTCCCTTGTTACCCTAGCAGGGCAGAGCTAACACCCACGTGTCATGACGTGATCGATGTTCCGTAAGTGCACGCTGCACACACAGCCGCATGCCAGCGCCAGGCCTTCCTGAGCACCCCGGGCTTCCAGGCCAGCTTCTCTGTGACCGAGCAGAGCCAGGGAAGAGATCTCTCTTGGTAGAGATCTCTGCACAACTCATTTTCAGAATGTTTCCCACTGGTGGAGACACAGAGAGGCGAGGTGATTCACAGGCAGAGGGCAGGCTTCTTTGGAAGGGAGTTCGCTGCCTCAGTCCAAGATCGGAAGACTGGAGCGTGGTCTGCAGGGCACCCGAGGATGCCTTCTCCAAGGCGATCCCAGGCTGCCTTTGGAGCCGGCCTCCAGACTGGGAAGGGGTTATTTTCAGTGCAGCAGCCTCAGGGAGTATTCTTTGAGCAAATCAGACCCTTAAAATCATAAATTCACACATCCTGAGATAACAACTGCAAAATGACTTTCTCAAGTTATAGATACAGTGCTCTTTGAATCAACTCTCTTCCTTCTGTCCTACTGATCTGCTCTGAAAAGGGCACGCTGCATAGACCTCTACCACGTGGCTCCACATTCTGAGTTTTGCCTTATTTATCCTTCAATTCAAATGTGGGCACTTTATACCAAAGGTTAGCCAGGGCTATTATCTCCTTTCCCCTGGAATGAAAGAGGCAGGACCTAGACAGTTGCATCAGCTCAAGATTCAGGTTAATTAAACCAGTGCATGTCGGTCACCGAAGTGTGTTTTAGACAATGCAGGGGATATTGATAGGTATAAACTCAGTCCCTGCCCTCACACAGCTTAGAAACTGTCATGAAGGATAAACAGATGCGCACAGGAGAAGGCAAAACAGAAGAGCTACAACAGGGATCATCAAAATGCCATGGGAGTTTGAAGGAGTCAGATCCCAGGAGGCTTTGTGCAGGAGGTGGCATTTGGGGGCAGTCTGGCAGCAGAGTTGCAGATGGATAGGCAGGAGGGTGGGGGGCGGGGCGGTAGGGTGACAGGCAGAAGGACCCACTAGAGTGAGGATGTGGAGACAAAGAGCCCTGAAGGATGCAAACTGTTATGAGGATGGCTTTATATAAGGAACATGGCCTAAGAGAAAGGACTGTTTGTTCTCTGTGCTGAGTTGGATTTTAGGGGCGGAAGTCTGGTACTCACCATCGCACACTGGTGCTGAAAAGGGTCCAGAGTGGTGACCTGGCAGGTCTGCCGAATGCGTGGATACCTGCATGGTGGTTCAGTCTTCTCTCCATTCTTCCTCACTACTGGGGTGTCAGCTTGCTGTGTGCCTTAGTCCAGCCTCTGCTCTCTGTGGACCTCAGTTTTCATATCTGTAAAATCAGGAGATTGAATTATGATTTTGAGATAATAATGAGAAGGTGATAGGAGAATAATTTGGTTATTTATATGTATTTATCATGCCTCATTGAAATGGGGGGGGGGCAGTGATATTCATTTCCACGTGAAAATAGGAGTCAAGGCCCATTCTGGGCTTGGCTGGAGCTGTGCTTTGCCTGATTTTCTGCATGGGCACAGGATTCTTTACCCCGGTGTAACTGTCTGGGAGGGGCACAGGCAGACAGCATGACTGCTCCTTCCCATTTGGGAGGCCCCAACAGACTCTCCACTGCAGGGCCACCAACTCAGACCTTCAGCCGGGTGCAGCAGATGCTTTTTGCCATGCTCGGCATCGTGCTGGGCTGTGTGCGGCAGAGACCTGCCAACCGCAGGCCTGGCAAGCAGACATGGGAGGAGCCATGGCTTCCAGACCTGTGTTTGTTAGCGTCACTGTGGAAGGGTTTTCTTTAGCATACAGACAGCCCTTGGGTTCATGATGGTTCCACTTTCAAATTTTCGACTTTGCAATGGTGTGAAAGCGGTGTGCGTTCAGGATGCTCCTTGGCTTGTGACGGGATTACTTACGATAGGCCTGTCATAAGTTGAAGACAGTGTAAATGAAAAATGCACTTCTGATGTACGACATTCTCAACTGAGGTGGGTCCCGAGTTGAGCATCTGTACAGATTCCTGAGCCCCATCCCCTGATGACGATGACCCGCCCAGCCCGGGCGGGACCTGAGAATCTGTGCTGTCGGCCACTGCAGCTGAGTGTGTCCAGGGAGCTCCGGCCTAGAGAAGGTTGTCTGTCGTCAGTGCTCGGAATGACCGTGTCCTCTCTACTTGCATGTATATGAATTCATTGTGAGTAAATTGCTGTTATGTGGACTTACTGGGCATCCCGTGTGCTTGTTACAGGTGTTTTCGTGCCAGGGTGGGGGGCGGAGATGAAGGACATAAGCCGGGTTATGTCAGGGTCTTCACTCCGGAGCACCTGAGCAACTGAAGCCCCAGCAGGAAGGAAGGCTGTTCACATGTGAAATGAGGTCGTCGTTACCATCTTCAGTGTTCTCTTCAACATTCACTAAAGACTCACATTGCGCCACTTGGGACTGAAAAGAGCCCCTAAGGCAGACGGGTCAGGCGTGGAGACTGAGGCTCAGAGGCATAGTCCTGTGTCCGAGCTCACATCCTCAGCTCTCCGTTCAGGGCTGCTGCCAGCTCCTGCTGGGGGAAGGGTGTCCCTTCCGCTACAGAGCGGTGGACTCTGGAGCTGGGAGAGGCCAGTGTGGGCTGGGCATGTCGGGGACAGCTTCATGGAGAGCTCTCACAAGGCGGTGGAGAACTCTGGCTGTAGCCTGTTGCCAGGAACGGAGCGGCCGACACAGCTCTGATCTGGAATGATTCCTGCTTTTATATCTGGGTTCTAAGGAAGTGACACCATGACAACATGTGTTTATGTCGTTCCATCTGCACACATTCATGTGAGGCAGGGAGAAGGCAATTTATTCCCCAGAATTTTACCAGTGGGAAAATCGAGGTCAAAGGTGGGACCTTTCCTAAATGAAGGGAACTGCTATTTATTGAAGGCCTACTGTGTGCCAGGCAGTGTGCACACCAGGCATGTATCATGAAACGCCTCGTTTATTCCTCATAACTGTAGCCTTGTTTAATAGTTGGGAGAGCTGAGGCTTACAGAGATTATAGCATTGACTCATGGTCAGACTGCTGGCTGGTGGCCATGCAAGGCTTCGAGCGTGCCTGACTTCCCAGCCCCCCGGTCTCCACCACGCCATGCTGCCGGGTTCACCTGCACCAGGTAGAACTGGCCCTTCCGAGTGCAGGCCAGAGACCACTCAGCTGCTCCATCAGGGCAGGTGCAGCAGGAGCTGCTCCAGCAAGAATGAGCGTTTATCTCACACCAGCGTCCATGCGTGTGCAGCAGAACCACGCACCAGGAGGAGCTACCCAAGAAACATTTTCAGAAGAAACTTTTCTTTTTAGTTCCCTGGTGAGGCTTCAGAGAGCTGACTGAGCTGACTGAATTGCTCAAGACCACCCAACTTGTTAGTGCCAGAGCTGGGGCTAAAAGGCAGGTCCCCAACTCTCAGTCAGCCACATGCCCAACATGCCTCAGCCTCTCTGAGGACGTCCCAGCCACGGTGCAGGGGTATGTGGGTATCACGTGGCCCATGCCACAGTCTCCAGGCTGGGCTGCCTCCAGCCTGTCCCAGGCACAGCGGGCCCAGTGCTTTCAAATCTATCCTTTGGAGGCAAGCTCCTTGACCTCTCACTATCACCTTTGGGACGTTCTTCCTGAGTGGCTAGCCGGGTCTGTCCCGCTGTGCCCCGTGGTGAGGTGCAGCGTGGGGAGAGCAGCTCTTGGCCCTCGTGAGTGCTGTTCCCGGAGTATAAACTAAGCGGAGGTGGAGCGAGGGCCTGCCCTGTTCTGTGCAGTTGAGTTCTAAAACCAGCCTGCAAGGGTAATGCTGCAAGAATGTCCTGCCAGCCCCAGGGGTGTCTTTTACAACAAGTTCTTGTTCCCTCATAATTCTTCTGACAAATTCTCCTTTTGATCCAGACTTTCCTAGGCATCGTTTCATTCCAGAAGTGGCATGTGTGTGCACACACGCTGGAGGGGAGACGAGCAAAGGGGATTGGGGAGTCTGCTCAAATGTGGCGAAGGAATATATACATCCAGAAACTACTGCCTACTCACCGAAACACTATTTGCTTTTTTTGTTGTTTCTTTCCTGGGTAGAGTTTCCTGTTCAAACTTGAAAATGAAAATTCCTCCACTTCAAAATGAACAGGCAAGAAATGCTGTAGGCTGGGTTTTCCCGGGGAGCCCGACAGCCATCTGCTCTGGGACTGAGCGTGCATAGAGCCTGAGCTCCCGGTGCTGGTTAGTGCAGTTCAGGTGAGGCATGGGGGAAGGGGGGGGCGGCAGGGACCTTCCGCCCCTAGAAATTCTCCTCCTCCATGTCCTTGAAGAGCAGGGGCCTGCCAGGCTCCCTTCTGGGGGCATTAGGAAGGAAATTGTAAGAACTGGGCCTAGGATTTGCTTTCTGTGATCTTTATTAGACCTTTTCCTCTACCCTGCCCACATCTCGGTGACGGCAGCGACAGCATCACATTAAAGGCGGAGTGATCCCCCGAATGTAGACGCCTCAATGCTGGAGGAAGACGTCTTTCGCATGCGGGGTTTTCCTCCCCGTTTGACTTACCTGTTCTTAGGCATACTCCCTTGGAGTCTCCTGTTATTTAGTTGACCAACTGAGGGTTACAAAGTTGTTAATATATATGTAGCATAAAATTTGAAAGAAGAAACAACGGGCAGAAACTCTGATTCACTGGGGCGCAGAGCCCCCAGCCTGAGCCCCATCCTGGCTGTGTCCCCTTCATCAGCTCACCGTGGCCTTGGGGGCCATGGTTTCTTCAGCTGTAAGATGAAGGTTCAGGGTTTCTCTGAGTGCTAAAATCTTGCCTTTTTGCGATTGCTGGTTTTAAATGCCACCGTCATTTCAAAGCACGTACCCGGGGAGGTTCCCCCAGGCACACACGACCTCGTGCTGGATCTGAGAGGCTGTGTCATTTGGTCGGATGGAGCTGCCTACAGCTGCTGGTGGCTCGACCAGCTCAGAAGGGTGGAATCCAGTTTGCCGTTTTCTTCTCCGAGGGATTGGCCAAATGCCAGGTACTCCCACGTTGCCCGCCCCCGACCCCTCCTTGCACGCCGTGTGTGCATGGAGAGATTCTCTGCACGCACCCTGCTAGACCTGCCCGCTAATCGTGCGTCTTCCAAACCCACACAAGGTGATCGTCCGCCCTCGAATTCCGACAGTGAGGGATGAGGTATGTTCACGGACTGAATCGGAGGGAGTTTGTTTCCCAGCACAGCAGCAGGGACAGACAGGCTGCTTCTCCTTCCTCCCCGCCTCCCTAGACATCTCTGTCCCACCAGCGTCACCACGGGGGCTGCCCTGGAAATGGAGAGCGAGTACTTCTCATTCCCCTTCCCAAGCTCTGCCACAAAGGCCTGGGCCGTCCCACTCCTCACCTCCCTGCTGCGCCGGCCCCTCCGCCCCCCACGTCTCTCCTCTGATGAGATTTCCTCTCTCAGGGAGTAGTTTGGTCCTGTTCAAATTCCCCTGGTACTTTAAATCTGGTTCCAATCAACATAATCACAGTGTGTGCAGTGATATCCACTCTGCCTTGATTTGCTCGTGTAATTCACGCTGTGTCCTCCACTTCCCGGGCTGTTTTATATACACACACTCCAATGGAGATACGTGTGTATATATTACATACGATGCAGGCTTATTACAGATTGAAAGGGAGGCACATTTCCATCATGGCTGCAATCACTTTTCATCTTTCTCCAAATCAGCATCTTAATGCATATCACTTCAACTGGACTTCTAGATGCCTAGGGGCTCTTTTTACTTTTTTAAGAACAGCTGTCTAATTCTAGGTCAGAAACTAGCTACAGTTGGAGAGCAGACTTCTTTTATCTCCATCACAAACCTCATCCAAGTGATGGACTTGTGTCCGGGCAAGTGTGGGATTTGCCTTGCCACATGATACACAACTTGCCGGTTTGGCAGTGTTTTCTCTTCTGTCCTCATGCCTGTGCTGTGACAAGTCCTTCCTCTTATGTGGGAGGAAAGATATGAGGTGGCCCAGGGGAAGAAGCTCTGATGCATGAAGGCCATGGAGGTCAGTATGGATAGGAACTCAAAAAAGGCTGCTTCGTGATAGAACCACAGCATACGTAGCACACAGTGAGGTCTACCGGCCTGGCTCCCCTGCTGCCCGGGTCACGCTGGGACAAAGTGAAGCAGGTGCTACTCTGAGCATTAGAGAGCAAGTCCCCCAGCTAGGTGGGTCCTCACCTCAGAGGGGACGGTGGATACCACCCAGAACAGAGAAGCCAATGGACTTGCTGAATCCATCTTGTAAATCTGTAACAACAAATTCTGGCAAGTCATGGCTTTTAATTGCCAGAGCCGGGGACTTAGAAAGAAATGTTTTCTTGTGAATTCCAAATATTTAACTTTACTCATTAAAAGCCAAAGTCTGGAGGAGGCAGAGCATAATGACATAAGAGCTGTTTTCCTAAACAGTGGGCTAGAAGGGGGAGGCTTTGGAGAGGGTGACATCAGAACTTGGACATGCTCCGTGAAGGGGGAGCACCGGGGGTGGGGTGGCCCATGTAGAGTCCTGTGAGCAAGAACAAGAGCCACACTGGGAGGCAGCTTCAGAAGCCCAGGTCCCCGTGCTGGGGCCAGTGGACATTCCCTAGGGCATGGCGATTGTTGTGCAGTGCACAGCAGAATGGGGACATCCGCACACCTTCACTTACCTACAGGTCACGTATCAACGTAGGAGTTTATATGTAGTAAGTAACCCTAGAAGTAATCCTGACCAATAAGGTAAGATAGAGAAACAGTGGCAAACCTTCCTTGAAGGTCACAGGTCTTGTGGAAGATGTCTCTCTCACATTTTAAAAGAACATAAAAATAATTTTTGAGCCGTGCACTTTTTTCATATTTAACTTTTGATTTTGAGATCATTTTAGCTTCACGGTATCCATTTTTTTTTCTAATGACCCATGTCTTTGATTTAGTGAGATTCCCTACATTAAAACAAAGCAAAAGAAGGACAGGGACCCCCCACTTCCCCTTTGCACGATCGCCTGTTCATGAGCTCGTTTTCAGAGAGACTTCTGGCGTGGAGGTTCTGATGAGGAGAAATGATAAAGTTGAGCGTCTTGCCCTTCTCTGCTGTGGGCACGGGACTCCTGACCTCCACTGTGGGCAGGAAGCCGGATTAGCTGCCACAGGCCCCAGGAGGGCATGTCCATGCAGGTTTTGCAGCAGGAAAACAGCCCTCGCCACGAAGTTGCATTCCTGACTCCTCTGTCCTGACGTGGACACTGAGGCAGAGGTGGGGACATCTGTGTTCCTGGGGCATTCCGCTTGGAGTCCTCACTGTAACCTGAGTGAGCCGACTGTGTGGTTCCTGTTGCTAAATCCCCCCTGCCACCCTCTCTTCCCATGGTGACAGGGCAGGGCCGTGCCCTCCTCTTCATTTCCTGTCCCTGAGTGCATGTGCCCCTGCCTTCTCCCAGGCCTCTGGGGGTCAGGGTGGCTCTGCGTGGCATCCAACACTGTCTCTCCTGTCCTCCGCCTCTGCCTTCCCAGCAGAGCTGTGGGACCAGAAGACAGAGACTGCCTCACCTGTGACGTCCGGACGCACGTGCCGAGCACACCGCACAGCCTGGCGCCTTCTCTACGTGAAACCCTGCTTGCACCGCCAGCGTGTGGCCCAGATGATTTCTGATCAAGTCTATCGTTTTGAAATGCAAAATGTATATCTCTCAACCACTGACAGTCACAGAAGCTGCACGTGTTGTCAGCACCCGCTTTGCGCTTCCTCCCTTCCCCACTCTTCTTCCTTTCGGCAATTCGAGTTTCCATTTACTTCCTTCCTTACTGTTGTTCTCTCTTCTCCCCTATCACTAGATCTCGCAATAAACATTCGACATAGTTTATTTGTCCACAGTGTGATTTGTGTGGAGGAACATGGGCTCACTGACGTTTAGGTCATTTCTGGCATGAGGAATTCCTCTGGCTTTTACGGACTGTTTCATGGGCTGTTCCTGTAGAGAGGCGGCCTTTGGAAACCGCAATCCCCAAAGCACTGGGACACCTGATTCATCTTTCCCTTTGTGTCATCAGCCAGTGAGTGACCTTAGAAGTGTCATCTGTCTCTTTAGGCCTCAGTTTCCTCAGTTCTGCCACACAGAGGCACTATGTGAGTTTGGGACGCCGTAATGTACTCCTATATTGAAATGTATAAAGTAACATTAAATTGCCACCATTGCAGCAGGAAGACGCTGGGTGAGCAGCTGGGGAACGCAGGTGTGTGGTGTGCGGGGTGGGTGGGGACCCTGGCGCTCCCCAGGGCCTCCCCGCGGGCCAGCAGCGCTGGTGTGGGCGGTTCATCACGCGGTCCTCTCTGTGGCCCGGCTTTCGGGAGCTGTTTTACAGAGGCAGAGAGGGGTCTGGATGCGGGCGGTGGCGAACAGCGAGAACTTTACGTGAAGAGGTTTGGATAGAGGACAGGACGTCTGGACGGAGGCTCAACTTTGTTCACAGTGGACCGATTTCTGGACCTCTGTGGAATTCAGGGACAGCTTTCCTGGGGAGAAGGCTCTGCTTCCTGTGGGCAGTAAAGGTGGGCTTCAGGCATCCCAGAGCTTCTCTGTCGGGCTCAGTGATAAAGGGCTGGGGACAGACAGGAGAACCGACCCTCCCACGCGCCGCGCCATCCCTGTGAGTTGGATGCAGAGATGTCTTAGGGACCAGAAAGGAAACAGGCCTGGTGGCCCTGAGACCTTTGTCTCCACACTGTCCATTTTTACCTGGCTTTGTTTTGATAAATGCGATGTTTGAGGTTCTGGTCAAGAAAGCACTACCTGGCAGGCAGTGTATTTGGCTCATGGCAAGGCTGCCTTCTCTATATACAGGCTCTGAGAAAGGTTTGGTCCCTTTAAACTTCGTTAGTGGGAAGAATTTGAAATTCCCACACTCAGGCCTTACCCTTCTGAAAAGATGAGAATCCAGGACCTGCTGGGTGACAAGGGTGGGGTCAGCGTGGGGAGGGGGGCAGCGGGGGCCGCTTGGAGTGGAGGTGGACACTAGGAGAAAGGACAAGAGTCGGAGGTGGCAGTTCTAGGCCTGGCTCTGTCACCTACGGCCTGTTTGTCATTGGACACATTATTTAACCTTGAGACTCCATTTTCTTATGTTGGAAATGAAAATATTTATCATCATATTTCATTGGACTACTATCATGACAAACTCAAAAATGTACAGAACAGTGTGCGTGTCAGGAGTTATTAATGTGCCTCTCAGGACTGCCACTGCCACCACCACCCCCAGTGGTCCCCTACTCTCTGTCCCTACCCCTGGATCTCTTCTGCCACCCCAAGTTGGACCTGCCTGGGAGTGGGGAAGGGGTTGGTCTCCCTCGATGGCTTTTCTGCCACTGCTGGGCTTCTCTCACTAGCGCCGTCTTTTCCCGCCCCCAGGCTCAGTCTTACTGGGAGGGTGATGCCAAGGGAGAAAGCTGTGGCAGAGGGAACGGCGGGCCAGGGACCGCTGGCTGCCAGGAGTTGGGCTTGGAGCCAGCCTCTGCCGTCCACGCCAGAGAACCAGTGACTGCAGATTCCTGGCTGATGCCTATGCTGACTATCCCCGGCGCAGTTATACGGTGAATTTCCTAAATGCAAAAAAAATTTCTCAAGCTTTAGTTTTCTTCGGGCCAGGAGAGCACTCTCTCAGAGTCTCGCTTGCAAGCTGTATGGATTCCTGGAAGGCTCCAGCAGTAGAATTCAAAAACGGCTCCTCGCCTGGTCTGAGTGGTCTTGCTAAAAACATCTGAGGGCCCTAGCCCTGAACTTAAGCCTCAGACTGATGCCCTCTCTTGTGTCACTGTGAGGGAACTAAGCCTTTTTGCACGCTCAGCTCTTCCCAGATCCTCCTTTACCTCCCAGGGGGTAAATTCTGTCCAGTCCACACACACGATTGTGCCCTTGTGTTGTGCCGGGTGCTGTGTTAGACACTGGGGCTGAGGAACATGACCTGACCTCGGGAACCCAAAGGCCAGTAGTCACATCACAGCCGCACGCAGTCTGGGGCCTGGTGGGAGTCCCCTCTGCACTGCCTAGCCTTGGCCTTCGTAGCCTGACATAGGGGCATGTTGGCCCCGCCCCAGGCTTCACTAGTCCCCTTGGGTGTTGGTTCCCACTGTCTTTATTTGCAAGTTCTCCAGTCTTGTCCGCGTTCTCCTATCCCTAGGAATTTCCAATCTAATTCCAATCCTATGCCAGAGCTGTAGGGCCAGGAAGCGTTGTTGGAGGAGTCATGGTTTAGCAGGTGCAGTGTGAGCGAGGGGAGACTCGGGTCCAGAGGAGCTTCTGGGGTCTGTGCAAGTCTCTGCCCATCTTAGGGCCGGGGTCCTGCTCGGGGCAGTGGGCTGGGGCTGCTGGACCTGAGATTTTTATTTTTCTCTTTGGCGCCTGAATCCTCCCTTTCGGTTGCCGTCATGCAGTTCTGTGTGAGAGACTGCCCGTGTCACCTGTCCTCTTCAGCACACCCAGCGGCTCCTCCTACCTCTCACCCCACACAGGCACCCTCAACCCGGTCCCTTTCTGCCTCACTCTTGCCACCGCATTGCGTTGATTTTGAATAAATATATTTAAAGGCTTCAGGTGTCCCTATCAAGGCCTTCAGAGAAGAGTGAGTATGAACTTCATGATCCAGAGTAAAGCGGGACACCCTTGAGAGTGAAGGGCCGGCTGGCTCGCGGTGATCGCGCCAGGACAAGAGTGTAGGTGGTCAGGCCTCTTAAGAGCCTCAGCCCTTTGATCCAGCAACTTTGTTTCTGGGACTCTTGTATTGAGCTAACAGGGCCAGGCAGCATTGTAGGTGCTAGGGGTCTCAAAACACAGCAGAGGAGAGCTTGCGGTTCAGGGCGGGAGACGGACAGATGAAAGGGCAACCTGCGGGAGCGCAGTGGGCGCTAGCGGATTCCTCCTCAGGAGGGCGCTGTGCGAGCAGGGTCCCGTGGACAGCCAAGAGCCAGGCAGGCAGGGAGGGGACGGTCGTCCTGCCATAGGGAGTAGTCGGGGAGTTCTTGCGGAGGGGAGAGCTGGCGCACCTTGTGGGGGTCCGAGCTCCAGGGTGGCAGGTGTGTGCAGGGAGCGGGAGCTGGTGAGAGGGGGCCCGGGAGCCAGGCCACGATGGCCCTGTTCCACGCTGAGGAAGTGTAGCTTTATCTTGAAGATTATGGGGAAGAACAGAAGTTCCTTCAGCTGGAAAGTGACCCAGTTCCACTCTGCCGTGGACAAGAAATGGCATGGAGGCTGGGAGAGGCCAAAGGAGGGTCCCGGAAGCCTCGTGAGCGTCTGCCGAAGCCGTCGGGCGTGGGAGGCAGCGTGGCTGCAGAGGGAAGGGCGGACCGGGAGAGGTGGGGGCGTCCCCCTGGGACAGACGGCCGTTTGGTGTGGGGCAGGGCAGAGAGGACTGCGGCGAGACCTCTGGCGGGGCCCTTCCCGAGAGAGAAGACGCGGAGGCCAGAGGAGGAGCAGGGTTGGGGGGAAGGTTGACCAACACTTTGGATACCTTGCCCTTGAGTTGCCTCTGAAGGTCAAGTGGAATGTCCCGTAGGCCGTGGGGTCCACGGGCTTGGAGTTAGGGTGGAGGTCTGTCCTGGAGATGGGCTGTGGGCGCTGCCCACGCATAGGCCGGGAGAGTGGCAGCGCGGTCACAGCCGCAGACGGGAAGAGGAAGGCGGAGTGCCGGGAAAGAGTATAGGAGGAGGGCAAGGCGCCTGCAGGTGGAGGGACAAGGAAAACCGGGAGAGGTGCTGCCACAGCAGCTGGGGGAGGGTCAGCGTGTCCAGCGACTCAGAGAGGGTGAGGAAGGAAGGGCTGCGGCGCACCTGCCTGAGTTCGAAACCAGGAGCGTGGCGGTATTCTGAGGGCCTGTTCCTTCCGGGACCTGGTGCCCATGGTGCTGGAAGGAGAGCGCGCTGCGTCTTGGCAGGGTGACGGGTGATGTATGCAGTGCTCTGCTCTGAGGGGACTGGGCTCGGATGGCTGTAATGAAGAGGACAACTCGTTGTATTTTTTTTCCTGATATTGGCAACACCGGAACATCCTGTACTGAGGCAGGGAAACCCATAGGGGGTGGGTGAAGATACGACTGGGGATGCTAAGGAAATGGGGGGCCGTGGGGCCCAGAGCAGGGGTAGGGCCTGCTAGAGAGGGGGTGTGGCAAGGACGACTCTGCCCCTCCAAGGAAATTATGATTATAGACAGGGCGTCCTAGTTGCCTCAGGGAAGCTCCACTGTGTCATCATGACTGTTACCCCAAGAAAATTATGAGTAGCACCCCTTTTCGCTTTCAGAAAAGCACTGGTTTGAGTGATAAAGTATTTGGTCACCTTGACGGTATGCCCTTAGTTAGGTTTGTAGGTAGGTTAGAAACTTGCGGGAGTTCCTACCCAAAGGACTGTTCTTTGTTGTTGTTGAATTTTCTGTGCAGTAGCAGGCAAGGTTTCTATATTCTGTTAGAAGAGGCTGGAGGAATGGAAGAAAGACCTGCATGGGAACAGCAACAAGTACTGCTCTACAGCAGGGCCGAGCCGAGCCTGAGCACAGAAATTCGCCTGGCAGCAAGCGGTGCGTGGCCACGTTTCCTGTCTCCGCAGCCTGGGTGTGGCGGGAGAAGAGACGCCTGGGTGGATCGGAGGCTGGGGCTGTGCTGGGCAGATGTGGCCAGTGCGTACGAGACCAGCTGAAGGGACGGAGCCTGAGAATAACCCACACCAGTAACAAGCCGTGTACACGGAGATATTTATTGCAGCATTATTTATGAGAGGATTAGAAATAATAATTGTCCAAAAAGGGGGTTGCGTCCAGTAAATTAGGGCACCTTGATATGAGGGAATATTATATAGACATCAAAAATTTTGTTTAG